TACATGCCCTTGACCAGAATCAAACCTTGGACCCTTCAGTCCACAGACCGACATTCTATCCACTGAGCCAAACTGGTTTTGGCAGTTGAGTGATTTTTGCTTCTTTGTATTTCAATTTTTTTTTTACAGGTTTTGGGGTTTTTCTTTTTTTTAATTTTTATTGTTCATATTATTACAAATGTTCCTCCCCCCCACCATTGCTCTCCTCCACCAGGTTCCCACCCCACCCTCTGTCCTTTCCCCACTCCCCATTGTCCTCATCCATAGGTACACAGTTTATGTTCAGTCTCTTCCCACACCCCCCTCTCCCCTTTTCCCCAAGAATCGTCAGTTCACTCCCCTTCCTTACCTCTGATTCTATTATATTCAACAGTTAATATTGTTCATCAGATTTTCTTTTAATTCCCTTGGTTTTTAGATTCACTTGTTGATAGTTACGTATTTGTTGCTCATAATTTTTATCTTTATTTACTTTCTTTTCTGAAAGAACCCCCTTCAGCAATTCATATAATTCTGGTTTGGTGGTGATGAACTCCTTTAGCTTGTTTTTTTATTAGTGAAGCTCTTTATCTGACCTTCGATTCTGAGTGATAGCTTTGCTGGATAGATTATCTTTGGCTGTAGGTTCTTACTATTCATCACCTTGAATATTTCTTGCCATTTTCATCTGGCCTGCATGGTTTCTGTTGAGAAATCAGCTGACAATCGTATGGGTGCTCCTTTATAGGTAACTACCTGCTTTGCTCTTGCTGCTTTTAATATTCTCTCTTTGTCTTTTGCTCTTGGAATTTTAATTATGATGTGTCTTGGTGTGGTCTTCTTTGGATTCCTTTTGTTTGGAGTTCTGTGTGCTTCCTGGACTTGTAAGTCTAATTCTTTCACCAGGTGGGGGAAGTTTTCTGTCACTATTTCTTTCAGTATGTTTTCAATATCTTGTTCTCTCTCATCTTCTGGGACCCCCATAATTCTGATGTTGGTTCGCTTGAAGTTATCCCAGAGGTTTCTTACATTATCTTCAATTTTCTGGATTCTCTTGCCTTCTAGCTTCTGTGGAGGAGTGTCTTCTGGCTCTTTATGTTCCAACTCTTTGACTTGATTCTTGCGATCTTCCACTCTGTTTTTAGGACTCTGTATAATATTTTTTATTTCAGCCAATGTATTCTTTATTTCTTGTTGATTACTTATTAATTCTAGTTGATCCCTTTTCATATCCTCATAGGTCTTATCCATCTTTTCTAGGAAATTCTTGAAAAACCTTATAAGCATAGATTTGAACTCTATATCCAGTCTCTTCTTTTCCTCCATTTCTTTCATTTGTGATCTATTTCGTCTTGGCATTTTCGTAGCTTTCCTGAGTTGGTAACCTTAAAAGTCTCTGTGTTCTGCTTGGATGGGGCGGGGTTTCAGGGTGGAGCCTACAGCTTTGGCTTCCGTCAGCCCCACCCTATGCAGTTCCTGGGTCTCAGGGTCCTTCAGTACTCGTTGCAAGCACCTCTGAGAGAAAGGTGCTCTCGATTTTCGCCTGCTGCCAAACAGTCTATGCTCTCCCCCAATGAGCCCAGTATTGGGGTTCAGTTCAGTTGGAAGTGGAGTTGGAGGTGGCGTTCAGAGCAGACTGGAGCCCCTGTCTCCTTCCCGCCAGGGCAATCCAACGGCACAGCCAACCATCTCTTCTCTGCGTGCAATGTGTACGCTGCCGGGATCTCCTTTCGCCATTCCCCCGGGGCTCCGCCTTACAGCCCAACTCCCTATGGATGAGCCTGGGTCCCTGGGGTCTGGCCTAGAACTGGGGTTCAGAGCAGTCAGAACTGGGGCCCAGCACAGTCGGAGTTTTATTTCCTTCCCGCCAGGGAACGCCAGCCAGGCACTCAGCCTCCCTTCTCTCTGGCTCCTTCCTCTCCATGTGCGCTGCGTGTTTCCGTACCTTGGGCTTTTCCAGCTCCTCCACGCTTCCTTCTGGTTTTCTCCTTGCTTCTCATTGTAGAATTTCCAGTCAGTCGACTTTCCTGTAGTTCTGGGTAATGTCCATTTTATATTTTAGTTGTATTTTATTGAAATTGTTGTGTGCGGCTGCAACTAGGTGTTTACCTGTCAGCCATCTTGGAACCTGTATTTCAAATCTTTGACTTGATTCTTGCATTCCTCTAGTTAGCTGTTGGGTGTCTGGATTTTTTATTTCATTCAGTGTATGTTTAATTTCTAGTTAGTTCTTTTCCATATCCTTGAAGGTCTCTCTCATATCCTTGAGGGTCTTGCTAAACTTATCAGCCTTTTCTAGGAAATTCTTGAAAAACCTTATAACTGTGGTTTTAAACTCTATCTCCAATTGTTTGTTTTCTTCCATTTCTTTCATTTGTGATCTATTTTTTTTTTTTTTTTTTTTTTGTCTCCACATTTTCACTGCTTTCCTGAGTTGTTAGGGTAGCTTTGTGTGCTAGGTGTCCTTTATGGGCCAGTGGCTCAGCCTCCCCAGTTACCTGAGGTGGACACTCTTGGTGCACCCCTTTGTGAGCTGTGTGTACAGCCTTGCTGTAGTTAAGTCTTGATTGTTGTTGGTATCAGTGGGGGGATTTGACTTCCAGGCCAATTGGCTGTGAGGATCAGCTGTGTTTATGCCAGGAGATAGCCTTATTAGACTAGACTTGCAAAATTGTAAAAGCCTCTGTGCTCAGCTTGGATGGGGCCGAGTTTCAGAATGGAGCCTACATCCTTAGCTTCCTGTCAGCCCCACCCGATCGGTGCAAGCACCTTTGAGAGAAAGGCGCCCTTGTTTTTCACCTGCTGCCAGACACTATAGTCTCTTCCCCAATGAATCTGGATTCCCAGATTCTTTCCTGGAATTGGGGTTCAGCACAGTCTGGAGCTTTTGTCTCCTTCCTGCTAGGACAATCCAGCAGCACAGTCAACAGTCCATCCTCTGTGCTCATTCACGTGCACACCTCCGGAGTTCTGCCTTTCTCCGCTCCCCTGAGTTTCCGCCTTATAGCCCCGATTCTCCCTGTATGAGCCTGGGTCCCCAGAGTCTTGCCCGGAACTGGGGTTCAGCACAGTTGGAGCTTTTATCTCCTTCCTGCTACAGAACACCTGCCAGGCATTCAGCCACCCCCTCCTCTCCACATGCGTGCTCTCGCGCCTGTATCTCCGTACCTCAGGCTTTTACAGCTCCTCTGATTTTCCTTGTGGTTTTCTCTTTCCTTCTAGTTGTAGAATTTCCAGTCAGTCAGCTTTCCTATGGTTCTGGATGATGTTTGTTTTGTCTTTCAGTTGTATTTTTGAAATTGTTGTGCGAGGCTGCAGTTTAGGTATTGACCTATGCTGCCATCTTCTAAATCCTCTTTTTAAAAACCGTGACCAAGGGGACATTGAAGATGTGATTCCATTAAGGGTACTAAGGTGGGCAGAGTATCCTGGATTACCCAGGTAAGCACGGTGGAAGATGGCTGCGGAAGAGACTGTGCCATGCTGGTGTGGTGGGAGAAGAACTGACCTGCCGTTGCTGGTCTTGGGTCGCTAGCACCGAGAGCCAGGATCCGAGGAATGAGTGCCACCTCCAGAAGCTGGAAAAGACAAAGAAGCAGAGTCTCCTCTTTTCAGCCGAGGAAGGAAGAACTTCATCTGACAGGAGGGACTTGCTGGAGGCTGGCATTCAGCTCGGTGGCGGTCCTAGACCTTCTCCCAGTTGTGCCCATTCTGATTCTAAGGGTCGTGTTTTTTTTCCAGTTGACGCCCCAACTTCAAATAAGGGGTCTACTCAGAAGGTTAATTCAACTGACCTTTAGCTTCATAATGGCATATTCCATGTTTTAAATCTGAGACTAACTATGCTTGTTTCTAAACATTTTAATATCTTCAGCACCAACAGTGGGACCCTGGTCCTTGATTTTCTGATGCCTGTCACACTGACACTTGGTCCTCCAACTGCTGTTTCTAATGCTACAACTGAATTGTATGTCTAGGCTACACGATGTCCTCAGTTTATGATTAGAAAACACTGTTAAAGTCAAAACATATTTGTTTAAATTATTGCATTTATGAAGATATGTGGTTTTATGGATATATGTAGCATTTTATATTTGAAAGTATTGCATTGAGCATGACTTTTTATTAGTGTAGAATGATTAGTTATTAGAAATTATTGATGTACTAGAGACCCAATGCATGAAATTTATGCAAGAGTAGGCCTTCCTTCCCCCAGCTGCCGGCACTGGCTTCCCTCTGGCCTGGGACCCCGCTTCCTTCGCAGCCCTCATCCGGAAGGTCGCCCAGAAGAGTCCCGGTTCAATTCCAATCAAGGGAACCTACTACGTTGCAGGCTCCTCCCTGACCATGGTCAGGGCTCAGGCAGGAGGCAACCAATTGATGTGCTTCTCTCACATTGATCTCTCTCTCTGTCTTTCTCTCTCTCTTCCATCCTCTCCAAAAATCATTGGGAAATATCCTCAGGTGAGGATTAAAAAATATATATGTAATGGTAAAAAAGAAAAAATATATTAGCAGTGGATATCAGATTAACATATGTATAAATTGCTTCAGTATTCATATATGTAATCAACCTTAGTCTGTATCTTGTATTTAACCTGAAGAACTTACTCTTATTTCAGTACCTATCACTATAATGATTATTCATTTTAAAAATATGATTTTCCTGTGATACTTTTATAGAAGTTATATCTTAAATTTATAACTATAATCATTCTTCCTTCATACTTGCCATACTCTGTCTTCATAGAATGCTTGTGGGCAAACTGTGTTACCCAATTCCAAATTCCACTGTTCTTCAACAGCTTTGGTTACACAGAAACATAGTATAGATGCTGCTTCAGAGCATATGTTCTTCGGTGGTCTTGTCCTGGAGTTGAAAAGCTCTGTAATGATAAGACTCAGTGTGAGATGGGCCTCTTTACAATTAACCATTGCATTGTACCCTTTTAACCACCCCAACCCCAAACTGTGATGGTCCAAAATACTTAGGTTGGTTTCTTTTATTTCTTATCCTCTAGGTAATGAAGTTTTATCCACCTCTAATCAGGTAATAAAAACATTACCTTTATGTGATAAATGTCAAAATTCAGATGCCTCTATATAAGCATGGCTGTAGGTCTTCTTTTACCTGAAATTTCTAAACGCATTGATCATGTCTTTGAAATGTTAAATAATATTCTTGATACTTTTAATGCAGAAACAAAAATAAATTTAAAAATTTTTTAAATGCTTTGATTTAGATGATTGGAAGTTCTTGTTGTTATAATTCTACTGAAGCCTTATTTTAATTTTCAAAACTAGTATAACAAAAATAAGTTAATCAAATAAATACACATATATAATCTGACCACCATAAAACACCCATTCTTTTTAACTATCCATTTGTTTCCAAACTTTCTGTCCATGAATTAACATTAATATTTATGAACATGGTGGATAGCAACAGGCTCATAAAAAAAGTTTATTCCTTTTAATTCTACATTGCAAGCATTTTATTAACTTTATTTTGTAGTATCTTAATTTTTACATTTTTATTTCATAGTCTATGCAATTGAAAGTTTATTTAAAAATCTAAATTTTTTTTTCTTTGCTTTTTTCCCCTCAGATGTTTCTTTCTAATGAATTGACCATTACATTTCCTAAGTTCTGAAATGGCCAACAGACTATAGAAAGACATTTCTTTAGGTTCCTGCTTTAAATTTTATTAATTGTATTTTATCTTACAAATACATATAGTTATGTGACTTGACTGATTACCTGCTGAGTGTCGATTGCTGCATACATTCTTTCTCAACATGTGAGACCTAAGGATGCCACTGCTTTTCTGTAGGTCTTCTGAGGGATAGCAGTGTGCTTCCTTTCTCTTTTATTGGATGAGACGAGGTGAAAGCAGAGTGAGTAGTAACTCAGAGCATAACACACATTGCTCAATGAGGTCCCTAAGACATCAGGGCCTGCAGCATGGGCTTGGGACACCTGAAGTGTAAGATCTTCAACAGAGAAGAAAAGAGGAGGGCTGAGGGACTGAGCTCAAATCTGATAGATGCTGGATCCTTGATTTCTTTCTTCTTCGTGCTTGGCAGGAAAATGAGGATGGCAGTGGTTCTGAAGAAGTGAGCTACACAGTCATTGTTCCCCGCTCTCCACACAAGCCCTCCGTGAGTTCCAATGACAACGGCTATGAGAACATTGACTCCACCACAAAGAGAGTGAAGTTGCTTAAGGAAGGAACCGAAACAGAGTACGCCATTCTCAGGACGGCGTGCACCACCAGGCCTTTGTCCCGCTCCGGGGAGCCTGATTATGAGCTTGTGCTCCCCCACTAGACACTTCGTGCCTCCTCGTCTTCCAGGAACAAAGACGGTACAGAGGGAGCCCTCCGGGGAAGTCTCTCTCTCAGCAGTTCATAAAACATTCATTTCTGTCCAGTGTTTAAAAATGATGTCCTTTTAATATATTTATTGCCTTGGGAAACTCTTAAACATAGTAGCTCTATGACTTGTATGAAGCCATATACAATACTTCATAATGATATAAAGTATTCTATATCTTTTTGTTTGTAAGGTTTGAAGATATGGAGATGGTGGGGGAAACCTCCCTAGGACAATAAACATCCACAGATATATGACCTAAAACATTCAGTTCCAACCATGCTCTCCAAATTTCAAATGCCAATATTTTTATTTCTAATTATGCATTTTATTTTTCATGTATAAACTACTCAATAAACTTTTAAAATGTAAGACTAGTGATGAGTCCTTTTAATAATCTGATACTTCAATTTTGTCTTTTCTATGTATTTAAATTTTACTAGTGATAGTGTTTTAAGAATCAAGTTATTACTATTGGATTTTCTGAGAGGAGAAGCTGAGTATGCCATCTACACTAATAAAAGAGTAAGATGCAAATTGACTGTACTTTCTCAACACCCACCAGCCAATCAGGAGTGAGTATGCAAACTAACCCAGCAAAGATAGTGGGTTAATTTGTATACACAGGCATTCCGCCCCGCCCCAGCAGCTCCAGGCCTCTGGGCAGCGTGGGAAGGCAGCTCTGTTGGCCTGGTCACCCCTAACTGCACCCCCCACCAGCCTGACTGCTTCCCCCTTGGCTGCCTGGTCACTCCTCATGGTCCCCCTGCCAGCCTGGTCACCCCACGCAGCCTGCTTGTTCAGTTGTTGGTCATCCCTCACTAACCCCCTGCCAGCCTGGTCGTAGGCAGCCATCTCGTGAGGGCATTACAGTCAGCTTGCTTATTACCTCTTTATTATTTAGGGGATTTGTGGCTTCGTGATAAAATTAACTCAAGCTAATTTGCATAACTCACAAGAAAAAAAAGCATTAAATGTATTTCTGAAATAAGTTTTTTAATTTTAGAATCTCAAAATAGCATTAGTCCTTGGTATTGTTTAAAACAACTTTTGTAAAACCCTAAGCTAAATAACTTACTTGAAAGCTTTAAACACAATTGGTATAGAAAATGCTTTTACTGTCATCTCAATCTTACATATATGGAGGAAGTGAGGGGAAAGGGCAGACAATTTATTTAGCAGCATATATGGCTAAATCTATCAAACACCTTAACCTGGAAAGTCCATTATTGATCCCATTAAAAGAACTGAGGAAATATCAGAAGTTACACACTTCATAAACCAAAAGACAATAATTTTAGGTTTACAGTAAGTAAAATATTTTTGAAACACTTCAAAAACTTTTAACATTAAACTAGAGGAATCATCTCTTCATTGTAAGACAAGGCATACAAAAAGTGAAAGACATTTAAACAAAACTGATTTTCAATACTCTTTGAACAAAATAAATGAAAAATAATGGCGGATTAGCTAATCTCTGTGCTCTAGCCAAACTACCTTATTTTCCGGCGTATAAGACGACCCCTAATTTACAGTTAAAACATAGTTTTAGGCCTATATTCGCTGTATAAGACTCCCCCCCACTTCAAAGAAAAGACTCACTTTGCTGTCAAGATCTGCAGGTAATTTTTGTGCAATTTTGGTCTTTTGCCCCCGATTTTCGGTTGACTTTTTTTCGTTTCAAAAGTCGTCTTATACGCCGGAAAATACGGTAATTACAGTGATCTTTGAATGTCTGTGCAGCTCAATCTACACTAATAAAAGAAGAATATGCAAATTGACCATGCCTCTGCAACACCCCACCAGCCAATCAGGAATGTGTATGCAAATTAACCCAACATAAAGAGTGGGTTGATTTGCATATGCAGGCACAGAGTGAAGACTGAAGGTTCCCGCTAAGCAAAGACTAAAGCCTGAAGACTGAAGAGGCTTGGGTCCTCCGCTGCGGCCAGAGCAGAGAGGCCTCGCTTTGAGGAAAACCAGGGCCAGCAGCCGGGGGAAGGAAGACCTATTGCACAAATCTTCGTGCTGTGGGCCTCTAGCAGTTCAATAATTTTGCAATGATTTTTTAAAAAACACAAAGAGCCCCAGCTGGTTTGGCTCAGTGGATAGAGTGTCGGGCCTGCGGACTGCAGGGTCCTGGGTTCAATTCCAGTCAGGGGCATATGACCAGGTTTCTAGATGCTCAGTAAGGAGGCAGCTTATCAATGAATCTCTCTCATTGTTAATGTTTCTCTTTCTCTTTCCCTCTCCCTTCCTGTTTGAAACCAATAAAATATATTTAAATAAATACACAAAGACACTAAAATGATCCAATCATGCAATGTTCATCTTATGCATTCTGCATCTCTTTGCCAACTTTATAGCTGAATCTCAAAGGATTGGGATAATGCTCCAGAGAATGGCAGTTTTTCACCTGTTTTTATAGATTACAATCAGAGGAGGAGATGCAGGTGGGTTGCATGAAATCCATTGGTGATAGATCAGAGCAGTGTTTCCCAAAGTGTGGTACATGTACCCCCAGGGGTACGGGAAGAGTTTGGTGGGGGTTTGCACTGCACCGTGCTTAGCTGTGCCTAATTCTACGTTCTCATGGGTTCGAGGGGTACTCAGCGTTACGAAAATTATAGAAGGGGTACACATGTCAAAAGCCTGGGAAACACTGGATTAGAGGAAGAAAAGGAGGGGGCCCCAGGTCTTTTGGAGAAAAAGCTCTGTCCTCCAACTCTCCCCTCTGGTCCACTGAACCGACAGGCTCAGCATCTGTTGTCTGCCTTCCCTCACCCCCAGGACATCAGCTACACTCCAACCCCAGCCGAGCCCCCAGGGCCCACAGTCAGACTCGGCGGTGCCAAGAGTGCCAGCATCACTTGCGGTCATCCTTGTCTGCCATCTCCTGCTTTCCCCTGATGCATCCTCTTTCCTTCCTTGAGACAGCCTCTTAGTGTTCCCACCCTGTTCTGCTCCAGTTCCACCACCTCAGGAATCAAAGCCAGGGCAGCTGAGGTGTGTCTGTGGAGAGAGGTGGCTGAGCAGAGGGGGAGCAGGGAGGGCAGTGGCAGCATTACCCACAATGTTTCCATTTCACGCTCGAATGCCCCTGGGTGGCCTTCAATTGGGCTCCAGAAGCGCCTTTTCTTCCTGCTGACCCATTCCCCTCCTGCCTCAGGATCCGATCCAGGGTCAGGAATATTTGGACTCAGAGGGAGTCTGCTGGGAGGCAGCCAAGGCAGGCAGCCAGAGCGAAGGGCTGACTGAAATGCTGATGGCCGGGCCAGCTGGACCTAGAGGCTGCTGCCCTGGAGGGGCGAGCAGGGTGAGGGCAAGCCCTTGCTTCAGGAGATGCCGTTTCACCCAGCCGTGAAGCCTAAGCTCTGGCCTGACCTCCTGGTTCAAACCTCAGCTCTGCCCCTGCAGAGCTGTGTGGGTGAGCCCACTCCTCAACCTCTCTCAGCCTTGTTTGTGCATTTATCTATAAATGGGGGTGATCACAGTAACCCCCTGGCAGGGCCAGTGGGAGGATTAAATTAGGCAATGCCTACAAAGTTCCTGGAATAAGAATAAATATGTTTGTTTGTTTGTTTGTTTGTTTGTTTGTTTGTTTGTTTGTGTTAAGGGAATTATTCAAATCAGGGAGATATTGCATGTATGAATGAAAATTTGGCACTTCCTAAGCAAAGTCTCAGTGCCATGAAGTCAGGGTCTCCTCCTTCCCAGTGTGCCCTGGACTGTCCCCGTGAAGAACTGACTCCTGTGTAGTGGTGAGAGGCAGAGTGGGAGTGTTACCGAATTTACCAGGCAACTGAACAACATGCAGGAGTACCGGAGGCACAGGAAAAACCCATTTATTTCCAGACATTTCACAGGTACAGGTGCAGAGATCAGGGAGACTGTTTTTCTCCAAATCCTGAGCAAAAAACATGGAAGGAGGTTTCCCTTTTTATACCTTTCTGGGTCTCTTTGTCTCCCACATTTGGGATGAGACTTCCGGACCTTTCATAGGCTTAAAAAAAAGGTAAAAGAAGCCCTGTGTGCTGGGATGGGGGTGGGGCAGGGTGCAGGAGCTTATGACCTTGAGCACAGTACAGCTTAGATAACTGATAAACACCGGCATGGGAGGAGCTAGAAGTAGCAACAGAGCCGCTTGCAAGGTCAGGTAAGAAGAGAAAGGGTATGCGAGGTTACTGGCACACAGATTCAGATTGCTAGCCCCCCTCCCCCTCCAAATGTCTCATTTTCCCCGTCAGGAGCAGTCCACTCGGGTGCATGCCATTGTCGTCTGTAGAGAATTTTAAAATGACAGTAAGACAGACTAAAAGCTAATCCACTTATTATTCACACAAGCCGGAAATCCTAAACATCAGTAATAAAACTCCTCTCACTGGCTGGTGTGGCTCAGTTGGTTGCGCTTTGTCCCACGCACCAAAAGTTCTCACGTTCCGATTCCTGGTCTGGGCACATGCCCAGGTTGTAGGCACAGTGCCTGGTAGGGAGCGTGTGGGGAGGCAGCCAATCGATGTTTCTCACATCAATCTTCCTCTCCCCCATCTCTCTAAAAGCAATCAAAACATATATTTTTAAAGATACTCTTTTCCTCCCAAATAAAACTGAAATATAGCCGAAAATGGTTTGGCTCAATGGATAAAGCATCGGCCTGTGGACTGAAAGGTCCCAGGTTCCATTCCGGTCAAGGGCATGTACCTTGGTTGTGGGCGCGTCCCCATTGGGGAGTGTGAAGAGGCAGCTGATCGATGTTTCTCTCTCATCGATGTTTCTAACTCTCTGTCTCTCTCTCTCTTCCTCTCTGTGAAATATCAATAAAATATATTTAAAACAAACAAACAAACAAACAAACACTGAAATATAGCGCAGCAGGTGTTGCTCAGTGGTTGAGCATCAACCTGAGAACCAGGAGGTCATGGTTCAATTCCCAGTCAAGGCACATGCCCAAGGTG